TATTAAATTCATGAGTAGATGTAAAATTATTTGACGAAGACATTGGGAAGAGTTAATTTTTTTTAATTGATTTATATTTTTTTTTTATTTAATTTTACGCTTATCAGTTACATCATTCTATTAAATAATAATACAAAAGCATAATTGAACCGTGGAATAAATCAGTTATTGACCACGAAGCGGTCAATAACTAATACATATTTGGGCTATAGGTAATGAAAAAATAGATTCATAGTTATCTTATCATGTGCCACAGAGATTTTTTTTACCCCTTTTTTTTTTTTTTTTAATGTATTCTTATGTTTTTGGTTTATTATTGTAGATGGGAGTAAGCTCTTTCCTATTTGCATATTTAAGAGAAAATGATTGAAGCATAGTGAACAAATTCCTTCTGGCATTGTAGTTTGGTTTCAGGAAAAGGGTTAGATGAATTCTGAGCTAATGCTAAAAAATGTGGACTATCTTAATGATATACAATTAAAAAATTGAACTAGAAGAAATCAAGCAATGTTAGTGTATAATTCTTTTAAAGGCCATTTGAAGATTTAGTCAAAAGTAAATTTTGTGAGCACGATTTTGATTTAGTAGTAATTCCAGAAGGTTTAACTAATATCTGCCAACCCCTTGATATTTCAATTAATAAACCATTCAAGGATAATCTGCGTAAGGAATGGCATCTCTGGATGGCAAAAGATGGCACTGAAAAAACTGCTGCAGGGAATCTTTGTCAAGCTAGAATTGGTAATGTATACACATGGGTTAAAAATGCTTGGGAAGCAATTTTAGATGAAATTATTATTGAATCTTTCATTGCAAAATTTCAAATAATTTAGATGAATTAAGGTCTGATCTAGAAGTTATTGATCTTTGTGATGAAGATAACGATGATAATACTAGTATTGAATAGGATGAACGTAAGGGTTTATTCATATTAAAGTCTACTGAAATGAGAAATACTACTGCAGTAAATAACCTTTAAGTACTGCTATTAAAATGGAATAGGATTTGATAACAATAACTATAATAGCAACGATAATTGTGGTGATGATTATGGCAATGATTATAGCAACAATTATGGCGACGATTATGGTGACAATTATGATGATGACTACAGCGATGATTACGGTGATGATTATGGTGGTAATGATGATGATGTTAATGACAATGAAGGCTGTGATACTAAAGTATGGGCTACAATAGTTAAGGTAATAATAATTACAGTATTTCAAATAATATATTGTAGTTGTTTTGAATAACATTAAATTGCTAACGATTCAAATTTTTTAAAAATCAATAAATAAGTGCAAATCATGTGGATGACTATTCAGAAGATCGAAAGAAATTGTTTCATAAACTAAGAGATTGATGGGAAAATCATAAACCAAATACATAATAGATACGTGGCAATTAAAAATTCGAATATAATGCTTAAATTTATGATTTCACTCTTTATAAATTTGTAATTTGCTTTGATCTTTATACAACTATAATACATTAAAAGGATACAGCAATAAATAAAATTATCATCCACGGTTATATTTTTGCTAATGAAACTGAGATTCCAAAAAAAAAAAAAAAAAAAAAAAAGCGTTATTGTGGTTAATTCAAGTGTAATGCTTATTCGTGCTTATAAAAAGTTGGGGGTGCTTATTTTCGGGTATTACATAATTTTGGGGTGCTTATATTCGGGGGTGCTTATTTTCGGAGGAATACGGTAATGAACTTTATTATTATGAAAACCATCTTTTCTTATGATTTTTAAATTTAAGATGTTTGTAATTTGTTATTTGCCAAACCAATTTTACTGATCTTACTACCATTAGAACCTCTAACTTTTATTGGAACTCAACAGAAAGCATGTTAATAAAAAATTGACTTTACTTAGTGAGGAATGATGAACTACTTTATATATTATTATTAATAGGATTACAATTAACAGCATTCTCCTTTCGTGAACTATTGATTAATATAAAATAGTTACGGCATAATATAAAAAATACGGCAGTTATGATACACCGTAACTTAAAATACAAAGTTGTAACAAGTTATTAGTTACGATACAGCATATCCCAATGCTTCAAGTTTCTACTGCACACTAGAACAGCTATAATAAATAAATCATTGATATTATAATTCCCTAAATCCTTTGTATCCGAGTAAACTAATATTTCATCATGCAAGCATTTTTGCAACGTCGCACAGCTACTTTATTAAAAAATGTATTGCCAGTGTTAAAAATTTAAAGTTCTTAAAAAGTTTTTAATGTTCTTTATATAGATAAATTAAAATCTTTTTTAATATTAAAAAAAAATTTAAATGTTCTCAATTAGAGAACGTATTTTAATACATGTTATATGGTGACCTCTAATAACGATATTAGGGCAAAAGTTAAATTAGGGTTAGGATTAGAGCAAAATTTTGAGTATATTAGGGGTGCACCATATAACAAAGTCCATTTAATAATTTATATTCTCAAAAATTGGCTGAGAACATCGAATTTTAAGCACTTGTTATACTACTATATCACGTTAACTAGTGAAGCACTGCTATACTAAACTAGAATCACGTTAGCTGCGACTGTCATTAATTTGGACTAGTTGCAGAAACTATGCAAATAGTATCTTCAGAAAGCGAGTACAAAATCTCACGTGGATACACTATAAACAATGAGGCAATAAATGCAAAAATGAAACGCAAAGGACCGTAATCATATGCTAATCTTTTTTTTCCTCGCCCTTGCATAAAAATTTATTGAACACATTCTTTTTTTAAAAAAAATTAACGATTTAATATTTTCGTTACAGCAATATATAGCATTTATATGTATGTATTTTTATTAAAAATTTCACTTCACTTAAAATATTAAACCCAATTACATAGTTAAAATTAGAGATCGTACCCGTCAAGAAAATTTCTACCCGATATTAATATTGATAAATTACCCGGTTAACTGGGTAATTTATTACTGTAATAACATTTTCTACCCGGATACAATCTCTATACATATAAAATAAATACATCATATCTTTCTTTCATGTGACTAATTTAATTACGCACGTTAATTGTGACATATACAACACAAGGAAAAATGTTTCTATCAAAAGTTATGAATAACGCTGTTGAAATAATTGTACCTCACATAAAAACCAAAGTCGAAAAATTAGAGGAAGAATGGAAGTATATACAACGCTTTTACAATTCTTCGAATAATAAAGGTAATTAACTTTTATTCTTTTGAATAGCCAAATTTATTTATATTTCTTCTTTACGATAAAAATCAAATAATACAGTATGAAATTAAGAATTTTATTATATACTTAATGTTTTTTTTTTTAAAAACATAATATTAGATTTGTCGAAATCAAAGTTATTTTCTAAAGAACTTTCCAATCATCTTGAAAATATGATTCGGTACATCAAAGAAGAAGATATTAAGATTCGGATGTCATCTAATCAATTTGCAAACCGACATTGTATTGATTTTATTCTGGAAAAAAATGTTTTACTTTGTTTGGTTAACTATGCACAAAATGACGTATGTATATTTTTTATTCTTAGATTTCTTTTTTTATCATATATTGTACGTGCTTAAATGATTAAAAGATCTCTTTCTTTTTATGATATTTTAGTCTTTTATAAAAATTGAAGTGGTCAAATTCTTTACACATTTTGTAACATGTATTCAACCATTATTACTTTCTGCTATGCACAATCCGCTTGAACAACTAATATCTTTATTAAGTGAAATTGATGAAAATGATATCATGCTGAAACAAGAATTGGTTAAATTAATTCACGTTGTTATAAGACATGTAATAAGTTTACCTGAATTACTTGTGTTGTATTTTAAAAATGACGATAAAGATAAGGTGCATTTTATCATCTTTTTTTATTATCGGTAAATTATTTAACTTTGTAACATTATACGTACTGTATATCCATCATCTTTTTTTATTTATTTATCTATTTTTAAAACTAGTCGAAATTTCCAATGTTTTCAATACTATTGAATTGCATAAATACTCCAGGGCAAATTGGACGTGTGTCTAGAGAAGCATTATCCATGATCATTCTCTTATGTAAAGATGATAAATGTTTCTGTTCTTTTTTATTGAATGAAACACAGTTCTTTGAAATTTTGGTATGAATTTTTTTAATATTTATTATTAAATAATTTTAATCTAACAAATTATTTAAATAGAATTTTCAGCTAAAGATAGCATTTGCTGCATTACCAAACACAAATACTCTAATTGTGATTACAAATGCAAACAATGTTGCTACAAATTCTCTAACTAATTGGAAATTTCCGAAAAAACAATATACTGATTCTGGAAGAAATTCAAGACGTAATTCTAGTAATCAAATAGATAATGTTAGTAAACAATCTACTGAAGATACAGATCAGATTGACACAAGCCCTGAAGTAACTATCGAAGAATTCTTTGAATTATGGGCATTTATTAATAAGATTTATGAAATTGATAGTGAGGTATGATTTTTATTGTAATTATCATCTTTAGTTTGGTTATTTAAAATTTAATTATCGGTTTATATATATATATTTGATTTCATTTATACAATAGACAATAACTTCAAAACTGGTGGACGTCCTAATAAATGGTTTTTTTAAACATTCTATTGTACCAGCTTTACTCAGTCCGTAAGTATAAAATAAATATATAATTTTTGACAAGATTTTGCATAACTGTTAAAGTGAATTTTGAAATAATATTTCAGATTGGACGAGCAGGCAACTGCTGCAACAAGTTACCTTACAGAAATTATAAAATCCATCAGGTTTTATCCAATTTTAGATAAAATTCTTGTTCTACTTTTAGGTACATCTCTTGATCCTGAAATAGCTCCTGATGAACTTTCGCAGCAAGATGCGGATGCTAAAAAGACTACTCAAATAGCTTCATTAAGAGAAATATTAATAGAACGTGGTGGTAGTCCCGATGATAGGATTTCTTTAGCTACTCTAAAATTATTTGATTCTATACTAGAGTCATTTAATCAGTTCGGATTGTACAATCTAATATTTCGTAATTTGGCCGATCTTGATACTTTCACGAATGAAAATTCTGTAAAATATTTACCATATAATGAAAGAAATTCGAAGGTATTACTGCATAGATTACTTTCGTTGATGCCACAAGAAGATCACCCATCAACTCCAACTTCGATTTCATTAGTCGTGGAATTGGCTAGAAAATTAGATGATGAATTTGATTATGAAGATTATTTTTTAGATGCTCAAAAACAAGTTCAAATTATTTCCTTAGCATGTGAAAATTGGTCTAATCCTTATCCTATACCTTCATCATCATCCTCTTCTAATACTAAAGTACGAAGTAAATTTTTTGAAGGTTCATTTATAACTATGATATTTGAACAATTAGAAAGCTTTCTTGAGATGCCATTAGAAAGAAATTTGGTACTTACAAATATAATAAGTAAATTAGCTTGTATACCAGATAAAAGAATTGATTGGTTATTGTACGGTGAATTTTATTCAAATGATAAAGTTGATGTTAATATTAACGATTCAAGTTTAAAATTAAATGATCGAAAATGTTTAGCTGATATTTTGGAAAAGGTAAGATTTAAAATAACTTTACTATTATATTAATGGTATTACAAAAAATATTTATTAAAATATTTTTTAATATTTATATTATATATAGATCGCATCAGACGCGAAATTAGGTGCATCAAAAGTTCCTAACTTTCAAACACGTGTTCAATTAGCAAAACGACGTGGAATGAGTAATTCTTCCAGAATGTCATTTCATAAAAGTAGTAGATCAGGTAGTATTTCAAGTAGTACACCAGTATCACCTATATTAACAACACCTACTCATAGTCGTACTCCATCAACCGTGTCATCAAAAAAATCTATTGAATTAACATCTATTTATAGTTTAACAAGTGAACCAACTTCGGCTCACTATAAAGATAATACTATAAATCCTTTTGCGAAATTTACAAATTTTGTAAATGCTTTTATAGTATTACAAGAATTCTGCAAAGAATTAGCAGCTATTCTATATGTTAAATATTTGTATAGTGATCATTATGCTACAATTATTGAGGAGCAAAAGTATGATATCAAAAATAGCTCTGATAATCAAGAAATTGGATTTGACGATGATTCGTCTAATTTTAAAAATAACAATGATCAAGTAAAAAACAATGATTTAAAGGATGATGTTATATTAATGCGAAATAGTGAAAATTTTGCAAAATTGGTAAGAGATACCATGTCGGAAATAATATAATGTAAAAGATATTAATGAAAACTTAAAGTTCTTTATAGCAATAATCTTGTAATTGTATTGTTATTTAAATTAGCTGTATTTTAAACTGTATAAAATCGAATAAATTAAAGTTTATTTATTTTTATCCAAATTTTTTTTTATAAATAACAAGAGAATCAAATAACTTTTACAAAATCTTTTTAATACAACAAAAAATATATATCTTTCTTTTATATCAATCACATGCTACGTAATATTAATGATGGGTGACGAATCTGATGAAGCCTGACGAAACCTTGATTTCATTAAAGTTTCGTCCGAAAATAATGAATTCTACGGCTAGTCTACGGCGAAAATTCTATGGACAGTGCTAAGGGACAACGACCCTAGCGTCGCCCGTAAAAAGTAACCGGGCTAAATCGCAAATTTCAGATCATGTGATTACATCAAAAAATCAAACATACCCATTTTTATCGTATAACTGATTATAAATCACATGATCTGAAATTTTTTAGGTAGTGATTTAACCCGGTGTGACGGTGTCACCTAATAAAAATTTTTTTTATTATTAGGGACGTGTCAGATATTAGCTGAGATCAGTTTACTATAGAGCTCACCCCCTCCCTCCATCCTGAGAAATTTAGTTATTCTGATTGGTTATAAGTATATATTTAGACCTGAGATTTTGTCTATCTCCCCTCACCCTACGATATCAGCTGATATCTGACACTTCCCTTAATCATTTATTATTATTATTATTATTATTATTATTATTTACTTTTGGCAGTTGTGCCACCAGTTGCTTTTTACTTTATTTATATTTCGTATACATATCTCTTATTTCTATATTTGTAACTTTTATAATTGGCAAAATCTGAGGTCTAACAAAATGGTCCAACATTTGGTGTCTGGCCAACAATGCCAAATCAATTCGAATTAGAAGAATTGACGTTCTACAACCCCTTTCAGTCAAAGAAAATCCTGAAAATCTCGTCATTCGATTTCATTAGAACCAATGGATTTTATTTACTGTAAGGCTTTTACGATACTACTGCCTTATCGAGAGAATCTAATTATTGCGGCGTGAGTCTAGGTGGACAATTGTATGACTCACATGTTATTTATTTATGTTTATCGAAAAAGATGAACGTAAAGTTTTTAATTATTAATGCTTTCGGTAATATGGGAAAGTGTTTATTGGTGTTGAAGTAGATGGAGACAGAGGGAAATTTATCTGACAATAGAATAGTTTAATTATTTATGTAAAACAAAATATGTATTTAAGGATGGGCTTTTGGCCTTCAATAAAGATTCTTTAGACTTCATTCTCAAACACAAACTCACTGTCTTATATGATTGATAGCTGATTGAAGCCTGATATAAATATATAATTATAAACTGCATTTTGTGAATATTGATTTACCAATGCTTCTTGTTAGCATTAAGTTATTTTAATGCATTTTTATTATTTTTATCTCATATTTGATCTATTAACTTTGTTGTTTTCATAAATACATCTTCACGGACTTCTTTTTCTTGTGTGAATACATCTTCATGGACTTCTTTTACTTGTGTAAATACATCTTTATAGACTTCTTTTCCTTGTGTAAATACATCTTCATGCTTCTCTTTCTTAAACCAATTCTCTTTTAGATTGTCAACAATTGACAATTAGGATTAATTCGTTGATCTACAGATCTTAATTTCTAATCTGTCACTTTTAAATTATACTATGCAGAACTCCATCCATCTCTAAATAGAAACCCACCTAATTCATATCTGCAACAATACTTACTAACCTATTACTCCCACATTGGTTTTTCCACACCTTGATTAAAATACCATATTACTCTTTTGACTCATATTTGGTTAACTATCCTGAATTAATCCAGCATCAACTAAACTGACACTCTTCCAACTTGATAATCACACTGGTTGTAAAAACTGATAGCTGGATAGACCTGCCAGTTATCCGAATTTTGAATCTGTGCTATCATAATTGCTAAGAGCAATAATTAAAAATTTTGGCAAAATTACTCAGAATTTTACTAATGAAATCGCAACCTCTTATTAAGTAAAAATTGTTCTTAGACCAATTTTACAATAATGCGGGTTTATTTTCTATTTTTATGATAAAATAATCAAAAAGTTAATGCTAGCTGAAAATTAGTAAACAATTTTGTAATGCAGGCCATAAACTTGCAGATTATGATCATTAGCCAATCAAATCAAAAATTCTAGTAACAAGTTTGCTATGATTAATCAATTAGGAACACTAATGCTAATGAAATTTCATGAAGTGTTAATCAGAATCACATTATTTTGGTATCATTTGATAAAAAGAATCAAAACTATTAGTTAATGCCTGTAGATCTTCTACAAAAATATTAAAGGTAGAGTGTATATAAATCATTTATCATATAATATGCATTATCAATCTTTTTTGTATAACAGTTTATATAGTAAACACAACTCTGTTTGGATAATTATCTATTTTAGTAATAATTTTACTATTTATTTTTTGTATAACTCTGGCAAATTTAACTATGTAAAGAAGTATATTTTTTTAAAAAGGTTTTTTAATATAGTACACATTGAAAAAGTGTAACCAACTACTTTAAAACTAAAACTAACTAATTCTAAACACTACAATCACTAATATATAGTTCAAAGACCCTCAAGACTTTGATTTGGCAGGCAGAAAGAGGCGAGGAGAGACTTGGTCCGAGTCTCAAGTCTTTTTGAGTCTTGCTGTAGCATATTTGGTGGTTCAGTTAAGTATAAACCCAAATTGTACTTTTAATATTGGTTAATAGGTTTGTACTGGAAGATAATTATAGTTCTTTGTTTTTAATTCAAGTTCTAGTATATTTCAAGCTTCAATAAGATCGTTAAGATTCTTAATAATTGTCACGTGTATCACATGTGATGTCACTGGAATTACGGCTGCAAAAATTGGTAATTTAATATAATCTTATATCACGGATAAGAAATTGGTAGATCAGAGGCTGAATTTACTATTCTGGTATTTATGTCACGGGGTTATTATGTCACAAAGATCAATTTAATTAATCAATTAATTGTTATACTAAATAGTAAAAACAATGCATTACGGGTAATATAAGTATATACTTAAGGGTTTTAATTACTTCAATTCTTTATTTCTTGTTTATTTTTAAAGATCAAAACTTAAGAGAAAAGGTTTATATTTTAGGCCAGGTACTTAGAGTTGACACTTCTACTCAGATTTCAAAGGTCAAGACTCTCTACAGTTTATCGATTATAACTAGATCAAGGTATATGTCTAACTAAGCATTTTTATAAGGAACAAGGAAAAAGATAAGTGTACAATTACAGTTAGGGAATATACCAAATTAGGTCACCCGATTCTAGAATGATCTACATGTTGATTATCACATTTGATTGGTTCTTGCATACATTTTTTCAGAAATTTTTTATTCACTCAATTCATTTTACAAACTCACAAGTAGATATATAAATAGGTTGTAAAAGATAGTTAGTTTAATTAATATACAATAATCCACTCCATTTCACCTTCACTAAAAAAATAGATAAGAACCAAATCTGGAGTTTTGTTTTGTATATAGACACTTAATCTTACTGAAATGGTGTTTAGTAAACTACTTTTATTTCACTATATTCATGCTTAATACTATAGTATAGAACTATAGAATGTTTAGTTACTAGTAACCATAGTTTTGTAATTTATTAAAACAAACTTTTTTTATTACAGTAGGTGAAGTCTGAAATTTACTCAATGTATAAAAGATTGAAAGAAATTATAACATTACTACAGTAAAACCTCTTTAATGCACACTCTTGGAACCAAGCTTTAACAACATACACTTAAATATTAATAAGAAAAAATATATTTTAGAGAGTATGTATATATTTGGGCCAGAACTTGAGCATGCATTTAGAGAGAGCGTGCACTTATAGTGGGTAAACTTATGGAGGTTTTACTGTATTTAGTTTGGGTTTGGGAATTGAATTTCTATTTAATTTGAGTTTATAACCAAAACTCAAAATATATCTTATTAATATCCTATTTATAAATAGTATTAGACTCAAAAGATTGCAAATTTAAATTGGATTAAATGAATTTTTATCAGATAATATCAGGAATAGGGTGCACTAAAGAGTATAGTTTAATAGCAAGTGATCTATCTTTATGATTTTACCCTGTTATATGTAACAATATAAGCTAAAATAGTGCAATAAAAAATACATTAGACATTGCATAACTAAAAAACATAATTATATATATATTATAATAATACTATGTAATATGGTATCAAAATTGAAATATTTTAGTTAAACTATATATGCTATTATAGCTTATAAATAAATATATCTAAACAAAAAAATGTATTACTGCATGTGAAATTTTTTTAATAAAAAAATTATTTTTTTTGTTATGTCTTTGAATCTGAATTCTAGAATCATCTAGCTGAAGATCATCACCAAATTAGGTGTGATCATCAATGATCAAATTCGGTATATTCCCTGACTGAATTACTAAATTACTTCTACTATAATGATTTCGAAGTATATAAAGTTTTTAGAACTCAACTGAGTTGTTCTTTATTGAAAGAAAAGCACTCCTTATATAATTGTTTTTACATATAGAAGAATTTTTTGAATGCTACGTTATTTATGCTATCTAATAGATAATGAGAATAAAAGGTTATTTTCGTTATCTAGTGAAATTTCTAATATCTATTAGATAACCAGAATTTCTAATGATTTGTATCACTTGAACTAATAATTCTGGACTTTTACTAACTATAATCTAAAAATAAGGCTAGTAGGGTTCATTTCACCTCTCACAATGTGCACTACAGTGCACCTTAGCTATATTTCAAAATTTTACTAAAGTAACTCTGTCTTGCAAACTAACAAAAAATGATTATTATACAATTTTATCTAACTTTAAACTAAACCCTAACCCTAAGGGAAGTGCTGTTTATTATGTAATTTTTTTATTATAAGGTCATACC